AAGACGTCTATGGGGCACCTTGTCAAAGGCTTTGCTAAGATCAAAGTAAATAACAACCACTGACTGCCGCTCATTACGAAGAGAAGTGATTAGATTAAGAAAAGCCAAGTGGCATGTTTCGCAGGATCGTTCAGGTAAAAAATCCTGGTGTTTGTGTGTATGGGAGGCCAGGTCGTGCCGTGGCGCGCGCTGGCATGGTCAGTCGACCGTGTCAGCCACCGCGCCCATTTCCCACTCCAGTCTACTGACCGGCTCGCACAGCGGCTGGGGTGTGGGAGTGGGAAGGGAGAGTGAGGTCGACGACTCAGCGCACTTTCTCCTCACTATAAACAATCTGACGCGCTTGAAGCTATCACGGTGCGCTAAAAGCCGTGGCTTGGAAGGTTGCCAACTGACGGGGTACCTTGGACATCCTCCTTCACTGGAGGCGGTCTGAGAGTCAGGCTAAAATGGCTCCTTTTTAATGTGGCCTTTATGGCACTCCCACCACGGTGTGGGATCCGAACCAGGCGTTGGCAGCACGCCCAGGCGCGGCTTCGGTCGTGCCAGCCTCCAAATCTCTGTTGTGTTTGGTTGAAATCCTGGTTATTTGTTGTGTGGACCAGGGGGTGTTGTGGAACGCCAAGGTGAGGATCCGTCCGAGCCATCCACCTGCGGCCTCCCTCGTCTCCGTTATTCTTGACTCTGTCGTGACACCGGACTCGGGCGAGGGAGGTGGAGAGAGTGTAGGTAGATGCAGCGCAAGTCTGCCCGCACTATAAATCCCTGCGCAAGTCACCGTCCCTGCTCCCACTTGCTGTGGGGCACACGGTGGACATCATCGAAATCGATGGTCGAACTGTCGTCGTGTGTGTGTGTGAGCAGTACAGCCTGTTGTCCTCCAGATTTTTATATAGCCTACATTCATGATTTTATAGCACTCGAGATATTTAGTGCAGGCGTTTGTAAAGATAAGGAAGATGAGAGGACCTAAGACCGGGCCCTGTAATTCGCAGCTCTCTCCTAGTATCCATCCAGATGCTGTAGTGGATACAAATATCCTCTGAAGCCTGGATGATAGGAAACTTCTCGTTCACCTGAAAATGCTGCACTAGGTTCCTCACTGTCAATCCTTTTGTAGGAGTTGTCGATGAGGCACTCAATAAAACTCACATTTGAAATCGAAGAAGACGATTTCCAATTTACGGCCCTGATTTATGGCTTTTGCCATTTTTCCTGCGAATAAAGGCCGCTCGTAAGACGTGAGCGACCACGATAAAATAAGTCAGTTTAAGTCAGTTTATTAAGGGAATGAGGCTTTCGCCCTTGAGCACCCTATTCATGTCGATAAACAGAAATAAAGTCATCAATTACATCAGCAAATGCGAAACGTTAAGAAGTTAGCGGTAACTGTGAGCCAGGCGCAAACTGCCGCCGCTAAAACAATAATGATTGTATGTACAGTAGGTTCTCAACAAGTGAGCGTCTAGTCTGCACTTAAAGGATTTAACACTTTCGGAAAGAACGACGGCATCAGGGAGTCCATTCCATGCCCCGATGACCCTGTGTGAGAAGGTGTTCCGTCGGACGTCCGAATGAGCCCGCTTCCTTTGCAGTTTGAACGGATGACCACGCAGACGGTCAGTCCGGGCCAATTCAAAGAAGTCATCAAAATCTAGGGCACACTCACGGCTTCTGACAATCCTGTAGGTTTGAATGAGATCGCCTCGCAGTTGCCTGTAATTTAGAGGAAACAGATTTAGTTCAGTCAGCCTGGTTTCGTAAGGCAAATGATGAAGATTCTTGACCATCTTCGTAGCCATCGCCTGTACTCTTTCCAGTCGTTGATAATCTTTCTTTAACCACGGT